GCACCAGAGCTTCAGCTTGTTCCATTATCCAAGTGGTACAATGAAGACAATGAAACAAGGAAGTGGAGAGGAAACAGAGACAGCTCGCCTTCGCGTTTTGAAGCGCGTTCGCAACAATGACGCTGACTCTCGACTTCCTTGTTCAATTTTAATTATACCACTTGGATAATGGAGATGGCGCGTTGGTGCTGAATTACATCGCACGTCTAGGACAGTGACATTAACACCCCCATACTGGCCTGTTCCATTATACAACGCGAACAACTGAAAGTAAATTATACTTCGTACACGGACCACATCTTCTAATCTTAATTCTGAATTCATATAAAACTTCTTCACTATAAAACCAAACCGATATCCTTATTTATCTTCATTTCATGATGATACAATACAATTCAAAGACGATAAACGATGATGATGAAATATTGCCCAGCCCTACATCCTTGTTTTTATCTCCTGGACAATATTGACTGAGGGAAAGAAAGCGCCGAGCGGACGCCATCTTCATTCAATACACAGTACACACTGTGCAGTAGTTAGAGGGGATCTTCTGTATGCTTTGTATTAATCATTTACTTTGATGCTTTGCTTATATACACATTGGAAAACTCACACTATCTCTCTCTGTCTCTCTCTCTGTCTCTCTCCCTCTCCCTCTCTCAGACTGGACGGCAACCTGCAGAGGATGCTGACCATGTGGCAGACCATGAACGTGGACATGAAGAGCCTGTTGTCATGGCAATACCTGATGAGAGACATCCACATCATCAACACTTGGAACATCACCATGGTAACGGCAATGACAACGACGACGGCATTTCCGTTTGATACAGATATCTGAAGATGACAGTGAATGAATGGGAGAAAGAATAGATGAATTACATTTTCTGGCCCCTTATATCCAATTCCTTAGACACAAAAATGTAATTACACTCGTATTTAAAATTGCAACGTGGAAGAAGAATAAGTAGGTTTGTCGATCTCAATGTAGCCATAAATAGAGTAATGACGCCTTCCATTTCTTACTCTGCCTTTGCCTCTCTCCTCGCTTCGTCTCCCCCATCCTTCCTCTCCTCTCTTCTCTCCCAATCTCCCTCCCTCCACCTCTCCATCCATCCCTCCCTCGCTGTCTCTCCATTCCTCCTCTTCTCTCCCCATCTCCCTCCCTCCTCTCCACCTCTCCATTCCTCCTCTTCTCTCCCCATCTTCTTCCCCTCCCTCCCTACACCTCTCCCTTCCCCCCCCCCCCCCCCTCTGTCCAGTTCAAGACCCTGAAGGTGGAGGAGTACCGGCTGGCCCTGAGGAACCTGGAGCTCCACTACCAGGACTTCCTGCGGGACAGCCAGGACTCCAAGATGTTCGGGGCGGAGGACCGCATGCAGGTGGAGGGCGGCTACAACAAGGCCAACCAGCGCTACAACTCCCTGGTGACCTCCGTGGAGCAAGGTTTGTCCACCGCACCCACCCCCCCACCCACCGCCACCGAACCACCCACCCGTAACAAAACAAGCGCTCCTCAACTCAAGGCTTGTTTTTTTTAGTCTCCCAACATACTCCTTTTATTTTATTGTTTTCTTTTTTTCCATCGAATGACTTTATTTGTTTGTTTACACAAGCGGCCCGCTGTTCACGGCTGAACACGTGCGACTTTGCGTGAAATGACTTCATTTGGACTTGTTTGCGTTGTTCATCATCATATGGCCGACCGTTTTTTTTGCCGGCTACCGTTTGACTGTGTAATTCACCTTGCAGGCTATGTGCAGCCAGTGGGAGGTAAGGGATCATCTCGGCTTGGTTCATGGTTTGATTTGGCTGAGCTGTCGTGTGCATCATCATGATAATAATCATCATCATCATCCTCCTCCTAATAGTAATCCTCATCTTCATCTTAATTCTCTGTCGTTGATTCTGCTGATCTGTCGTTGCATTCCTGTGTGACCACAAGCATGAGGTTTCTGTTCCACAATCGTTATCAGTGATGACGGTCTCTGTCAGTATCAGTCGGTATCAGCCCGGAGTATCGATGTGCAGCGAGTTGTGCATGAAAGCGTGTGTCCCACCGCTCCTGTGTGTGTGTGTTACTGTGTTACCGTTGGCTTAATGTTTGATTAAACCTCCACTCACTAATCCAGACACCCTGATCACACCGGGGCCTCCAGGTCAAGTCACATTAACATTGATAATCACTCCTGGACCCGATGAAAGTGGACATTCAATACTTTTTCTCTTAAAGAGTTTCATTGTCAACCATTGTATCCAACTTAAAAGATTGCTAACCCTTTCTCCATTAAAATAATAACACTTTAAACATTATTGACAACACAAAGCATTTCTGTCTTTTTATTGTTTGGATCTATATTCAGACACATATTCTAATAAATTAAATGGCATTACCGCTGATTTTAAATTGCATTAGCCAGAGCTCATATCTCAGATATCTCCAGTTTGCAATGAAACTCTCAATTTCTGACTCGCCCAACAACAAAAAAGCAGTCAGCATTTTCTAACCACACCTTAAACCACACACAACATATCCGTGCCAACACACACACACTCACGACGTGTGTGTGTGTGTGTACGTGTGTGTAGTGTGTGTGACGTTTTCCCCTTGACCCCCCCGGCAGGTGAGCAGGAGGAGTCCATGTGCAAGGTGTACCTGACCCGGATCCAAGACCTTCGCCTGAGGCTGGAGGGCTGCGAGAACCGCACCGTCACCCGCCTCCGCCAGCCGGTCGACAAGGAGCCCCTGAAGGCCTGCGCCCTCAAGACGGCCGAGCAGATGGTAACGATGATGTCATCACTGAGGGACAGGGCTGGAGGAGAGGGGGAGGGATGAACACATTCATGGGGGCCTGTGATGTCATTTAATGTTAATTTGGTTCACAATAATAATAATAATAATAATAATAATAATAGTGATAAAAATAAAATCAAAATAATGTGTTTCTAAAATAATTATTTAATAAAAGACACTTTACATAGATAAAAGTCAATATAACATCAGGGATGTGTTCTTAAGGGTTATAAGTGTGAGATAAGTGTCAGAATTTAAATTAAGTGATTTTAAAAAGGTACGTTTTGAGAGATGCTAATGTAATATGCCTTTAATCATTTCCTTTAGTAGTGTGTGTGTGTGTGTGTGTGTGTGTGTGTGTGTGTGTGTGCGTGTGTGTGTGTGTGTGTGTGTGTGTGTGTGTGTGTGTGTGTGCGCACTTAGTTGGTATGATTAATACAACTCCCACATTCCCACCGTTCGTCTCGCTAACAACCGCCGTCGTCGCCATCGTGTCGCCCGACAGAAAGTCCAGTCGGAGCTGGAGGGCCTGCGGACGGAGCTGAGCGGCGTGACGGAGAAGACGGAGGAGGTGCTGGCGTCTCCCCAGGAGACCAGCACCGCCCCGCTGCTCCGCTCCGAGCTCGACTTCACCCTCAACAAGATGGAGCACGTCTACAGCCTGTCCTCCGTCTACCTGGACAAGTAAGACCTCCTGAGCTCTCCTGCGTCACCGCCGCAGTTTCACTCACTAACGCACACTTAAATCACTCATTTACTCAATTACACACACACACACACACACACCTTAGAGACTACACTCACACACACACACACACACCCACCTATTTCCCAGAAAGTAAAAGGGTACACTCGTTCCCCAGGCGTGACACCGATCCACAATGTTGTTCACAAGCATATACAGTCCCGGACAAAAGTCTTGTCACTTATCCATTTTGTAGAAACAACAGCTTATAACCTGACTTTTAATTAATCCATTGGTTTTAGAAATGGCTCATATCAAAGCTAAAACCCTCCCAAATTATGTTTAATATACTAAAATGAATTTGCTTCACTGAAGAAAGATTGATCATTTAATGAACACAGAAAGGTCAGATTTTGGCAAGACAAAAGTTTTGTCGCCTACAGAGAGTAATGTGAAAATTGAACAAATAATTGACTTCAAATACAAAAAATATGTTGCATAACATCAGTGAATTAAGTAGCGGTGCTGTGAGATCCATATTTAATATCTTGTATGACTTCCATGAGCTTGAAGGACTGCATCTCCATGCAGTCCTTCAAGCTTGTTTACCTTTGTTTATATTTATAGCAGTTCATGTTTATGTTTAGCTCATTGTCTTTGTTTCAGCTGTATGTCCATGTATGTACATTGAGAGCACCTGGAAAAACCGGAGTCAAATTCCTTGTGAGTTTGTGAACATACTTGGCGAATAAAGCTGATTCTGATTCTGATTCTGATGTGCTCCTCTCAGGCTGAAGACCATCGACGTCGTGATGCGAAACACCGAGGACGCGGAAGACACGCTGAAGAGCTACGAGACGCGCCTGCGCGACGTCAACAAGGTTCCCACGGACAAGAAGGAGGTGGAGAACTACCGCAGCCAGCTCAAGGTACCGGCCCCTCCGCTCGAGCGACGCGTCGGCACAGAGTGTTACGGGGTTCACGTCGCGTTCGTATCGAGTTCATAGCGAACGTTGTCTGGCGTACGCTTGTAAATGTGCGATCTCGGTGGCCTCCATCTGAGTTTATAAACACATAAACTCAGAAAACTCTTTTACTCCTCCTCGCAGAAAATGCGCGCGGAGGCGGAGGACGACCAGGCGGTGTTCGACCGGCTGCAGGACGAGCTGAAGAAGGCCGGCGGCGTCAGCGAGCGCATGGCGCGCGTGCACAGCGAGCGCGACGCCGACCTGGAGCACTACCGCCGCCGGGCGGCCGGTCTGCTGGAGCGCTGGCAGGCGGTCTTCGTGCAGACGGACCTGCGGCAGCGGGAGCTGGAGCTGCTGGGCCGCCAGATGCGCTCGTACCAGGGGAGCTACGAGGAGCTGATGGCGTGGCTCCGCGAGGCCAAGCAGAGGCAGGAGGAGATGCAGGCGCTGCCCATCGGAGACGGCAAGGCGCTGGGCCAGCAGCTCCGGCAGGAGAAGGTTAGCCCAGCGCGTTTAAAATGCAGCGAGTCGCTAAGTGGATGGTAGCGGTTGGGCCCCTGTGCGGGTCAACCGGTTGTTAGAGCATGGCATTAACGCCGCCGCGGTCAAGGGTTCGATTCCCGCTTGGGCCGCTAAGAATGTGTGCATTCAATGTGTCATAAGACGTTTCGGATAAAAGCTGCCACCAAATTAAAAGATGTCATTGAAATCTGATGAGAAAAAAATTAAAGAAATGAAGAAATTGCTATTAAAGAAATGAAGAAATTGAATGAAACATATTAAGATGCATTTTGAGAGAAACAGTATAAATTACCAGTATAAACTATATCAGTTTTTTAATTAATTAATTGCAGATACTCCTGGAGGAGATCGAGTCCAACAAAGACAAAGTAGAAGATTGCCAGAAATATGCTAAAGCATACATCGATGCGGTCAAGGTATGGACCAATCAAATCCTCCATATGAAACAACACCGCTCTCCCCATAGTTTTCTGAGTTTATGTGTTTATATTTGTTGGTTTATTGTTGTAGGACTACGAGCTTCAGGTGGTTACCTATAAAGCTATGCAGGATCCCATCGCTTCTCCTCTGAAGAAGACCAAGATGGAGTCCGCTTCTGATGACATCATCCAAGAGGTCAGTCACCGTGGCGACATTCATTCGCACTTTCATAGGTTGACTTGCACGGTTGAAACTGTGTGTGTGTGTGTGTGTGTGTGTGAGAATGGGGGAAATATGATGCGTTCATTATAAAAAACGCTTTTAAGTGGTCCGATTTAAAAAAGTTAAAACGGGTGAACGATACGTGGTCAAATAAATGCCACGTTATCGGTTTTTACAGTGAGGTCTAAGGTGTGTGTTTTCCCGCCCTCTGTCCTCCAGTACGTCACCCTGCGGACGCGCTACAGTGAACTGATGACGCTGACCACTCAGTACATCAAGTTCATCATCAACACGCAGCGCCGCCTAGAGGACGACGAGGTAACGACACCCCATTCCTACTGAACACTGGCAGCACGAGCTAACTGTTCAAATAAATAAATACATTAAAAACACAAATTATAAACAAAGTGAAATAAAGATATTGTGAACTAAGTAATGAATATGGATATGAAATATGATTCCACGCAACCTATCATTTTGGTTATTTGCAACGCACCTCATTTGGGGAATCTGGAAGATCACAGCACATCCACTTACTCCTGCTGCTGTTTGCTGTTTGTATTGAAACCCTTTTCTAGCCACAACAATCCTTTACCATCCTAACCAAACTCTGGGTTATTGTATAATTCAGGGGTTCTCAACCTTTTTCAAGCTGGGCCCCCCCAAAACTGATTAATTGCAGTTGGGGGCCCCCCCTTCCAGATTGTTGATGGGGGGGGGGGGGGGGGTGCGCGCGACTGTTGAGGGGGGGGGGGGGTGCGCGATTGTTGACGGGGGTGGGGCGATTGTTGGGGGGGGGGGGGGGGGGGGGGGGTGCGCGCGCACGACTGTTGACGGGGGGAGTGCGCTGGAGTGCGCGGCTGGGAGTGCGCGGCTGGGATTGCTTGCGGCGCGGAGCCAGCTGCGGGGCGGCCTGGCTCCGCTTCTGAATTTGCATAAAGTTGGGAAATTAAATACGAGCGGCGCGAATCCACGCGGTCACCAGTCAGCAAACAGGACGTGGGCCGTGACGTTGACCCTTCTGATTCATTACCAATGCGGGCGGGAGCTAGTTGATCCACTAGTCAACACGCCCCCTAAGCGAACGAGTTTTCAAGGCGGCGCGATGTCACGCGGATAATTCGTGTATAGTGGATATTCACGGGGAGAGTGTCCGCGCCCCCCCGGGAACGTGTCCACCGGTTGAGAACCACTGGTATAATTGATATGTAATGAATATGATTGGCTCTAATGAATGGATAGTCATCATCGCCATCTTGTTGTGTGGTCATTGGTATTCATTCATTTGAGCCAAATATAAAAATATGTTTGCAGTAACCCAGTTTTAACATAGAGGCCGCTGTTCCTGTGATTTAAATTTCAGTATTTGGTTGATCTGTAAAGTATGGGTGTGTGGACACTTCTCTTCAAATGTACTTTTCTTTCCTAATGAACCTTTCAGTTTTCCCCCTTTCTTCTACTTTCTAACACGGTATCTTCTTTGCTTCTCTAAACTGCTCGCCAGTGCTTTGTCATGATGAATGTTAGTCATGTGTGGGCGCTAAAGACATGAGTAAACCCCCCAGCGGCAGGTATTAACAAAATATAAGCCCTCCACCATCTTTCTTTACATCAGACCTGTGTACCCTGTTCGAAGAGAAGGTTGGGGATTTTAAGGAGCCTATCTTAATAATATACCCAGGTTATGTTATAGCTGTCTATTAGCATTCATAAGCAATGCATATTTAGCGTTACTGTCGTAAAAAGCTCTTTCACAATTGGCTGAGAATTGTTTTACTTGTTGTCCTCTATCTTCAGATAGACGGCCATTTGAGCGTCTGTTTACCTACTTATTACTTTATTTGTATTTAGTAGGATAGGTTCCCAGAAATTCTGAATCTTCCCTTTAGGAATTTCATATACCGAAAATGCATCACATTTAACCATTAATACTCACATCTCTTGCTGTTTATCTAATTCTCCCAACCATTTCTGACTTGTATGTATTTTTTTAATGTCATCATAACACAGCTTATTGAAATGGCTTTGTCTCACGACGCTTCCTCATATTTGCGTGTTTATGCTATTACCATTGAACGATGCAGTGCAATTAAGTAAGGAAATTTTAACTTTAATTATTACATGCTTTAGTATTGTTTATTAAAATACCATCGTGTCTTTAGTGGCTTCTCAACTATTGCTTTCACGCTAGCCATGCCCACTTTGCATGCTGCTTATTTCATGCTTATCCAATTAGGAATTATTTTCATATCCTGAACCTGATGATGTAAAGTTGGATAGATTGAAGAGTAACATGATCATGTTCAAACCATAGATTCTGGGACAAATTAAAGTGTACCCTATCCAATTAAAAGATTTACACTGACATTCACAGTAGCTTTTAAGTATAAACACTGCAACCGTGCGGATACAACTAAAAATAAAATCGTGAAGGTCCAGAGGTACATTCTGTTATAAATGGTATTATTACAAAAGAGAGTGCCCTATGTCAGGTATTTTCATTGTCATGGGGATGTCAGTTGATATCCCCATGCATGACGTGATTTGTGGTTCCAGGTGTGTGTTGTGTCGTGACGTGAGGATCATCCTGTGTGTACATTAAAAGATGCTGAAGCATAACTTAATATTTATCACATCTGAACTGTTTATTTGTTGTTAGCCATTTCTGTATTTTTCATAGATTGGACATTTTTATGTGACAGCTTACTATGAAGGAACTACCATAATATCTCAAATGTAAGTCTTTTTCCCCTTTGCCTTTTTTTTGCTTGTACCAATGCAGAAAGCCACCGAGAAATTAAAGGAAGAGGAGAAGAGGAAGCTGGCCGAGATGGAGGCTGAGTTGGAGAAGCAGAAGCAGCTGGCCGATGCCCACGCTAAAGCCGTGGCCAAGGCGGAGCAAGAGGCCCAAGCCCTGAAGCTGCAGATGAAGGATGAGGTGAACCGAAGGCAAGACGTTGCCGTGGATGCGGAGAAACAGAAGCAGAACATCCAGGTGGAGCTCCATCAGCTCAAGAGCCTGTCAGAGCAGGAGATCAAGTCCAAGAACCAGCAGGTGGAGGAAGTTCTGCTGAGTCGCACCAAGATCGAAGAGGAGATCCGCATAATCCGACTCCAGCTAGAGACCACCATAAAGCAGAAAAGCACTGCGGAAGGGGAGCTGGGCCAGCTCAAGGACATGGCCACTGAGGCGGAGAAGCAACGCAAAGCTGCGCAGGACGAGGCAGAAAGGCTGAGGAAGCAGGTCGCAGAGGAGACGCAGAAAAAGAAAAATGCAGAGGAGGAGCTCAAGCGTAAATCAGAGGCAGAGAAAGAGGCTGCCAAGCAGAAGCAGAAGGCCATGGACGACCTGCAGAAGTTCAAAATGCAAGCCGAGGAGGCTGAGAGGCGCATGAAACAGGCGGAGGAGGAGAAGAAGAGGCAGGTGATGCTAGTCCAGGAGGTGGCGCAGAAGACAGCCGCCACAGAGCTGCATAGCAAACGTGCAGCGTTCGACGAGAAGGCAACCCAACTGGAGGAGTCACTGAAAAGGGAGCAAGGCACGGTCCTTCAGTTGCAGGAGGAGGCCGAGCTACTCAAGAAGCAACAGGAGGAGGCCAACAAGGCCCGGGAGCAAGCCGAGAAGGAGCTGGAGACGTGGAGGCAGAAGGCCAACGAGGCTCTGCGCCTGAGACTCCAGGCTGAGGAGGAGGCCCTCAAGAAGAGCCAAGCCCAGGAGGAGGCAGAGCGACAGAAGGTGGATGCTGAGAAGGATGCTAAGAAAAAGGCTAAGGCCGAAGAGGCGGCGCTCAAGCAGAAAGACAATGCAGAGAAGGAACTGGAGAAACAGAGGAAGATGGCGGAACAGACAGCCCAGCAAAAACTGTCTGCGGAGCAGGAATGTATAAGACTGAAAGCTGACTTTGAGCATGCCGAGCAACAGAGGGCCCTGCTGGACAATGAGCTTCAACGTCTCAAGAACGAGGTGAACTCTGCTGAAAACCAAAAGAAACAGCTGGAGGATGAGCTGGCCATAGTCCGACGCGAGATGGAAGATCTCCTCAAGCTGAAGAACAAAGCGGAGTCAGAGTCGATGTCCAGCACTGAGAAAAGCAAGCAGCTGCTCGAATCGGAGGTGCTGAAGATGAAGCAGCTCGCCGACGAAGCAGCCCGGCTGAGGTCCTTGGCAGAGGAGGCCAAGAAGCAGAGGCAAGTGGCGGAGGAAGAGGCAGCTCGCCAGAGGGCCGAGGCTGAGAAGATACTCAAGGAGAAGCTGGCCGCTATAAATGAGGCAACTCGTCTGAAAACTGAAGCAGAAATCGCCCTGAAGGACAAAGAAGCAGAGAATGAAAGGCTGAAACGCAAAGCAGAGGAGGAGGCCTATCAGAGGAAGTTGCTGGAAGACCAGGCTTCTCAACACAAGCAAGACATAGAAGAGAAGATCACACTGCTAAAGACCTCTTCTGATTCCGAACTTGTAAGGCAGAAG